GGATAGTTTGGACAAGTCGTTGGATTTACGCCTTCCGGATATTCCCTGTGTGTAAATCCTGGCAATGGAGCAACTTGATGATAAGCGTTCGGGGCGTAATTTGTACAATAGGGGTAGTTTGGACAACTAGCCGGATTCACTCCAGCTGGATATCTATAAATAATCAAACTCACAAATGAAATTCATTACCTTTTAAATCGATAAATTTGAAAGAAAAAAAAAAAAACTTACCCTGGAACAGCGTGTGCACCTCCAGCAGGATTTCCAAATCCGGTATAAGCACCCGATGCGAATCCAGTATTAGGATATCCCGAATAAGCTTCCGGTACGTAGGCTCCAGAGTTATAAGCATCGTTATAAGCTCCGTTGTAGGCTCCGTTATAGGCTCCGTTATAGGCTCCGTTATAGGCTCCGTTATAGGTTCCACTTGTGTAGACTCCAGGCTGAGTCTGAGCAGCTGCTAGCAAAACGTTATCGCAATTTGGATAGTTTGGACAAAGATTTGGATCGAGTCCAGCCGGATATTTGTCACCGGCTGGTCCGGCAAAAGCGGAAATAACGATGGAAGCGAAAAAAAACTAAACAAAAAAAATTTTTATTACAACCCCTAAAGTTAATAAATATTCAATAATAAAATAGTTTTTTTTTTTATTAAAAAGAAAAAAGCAAAACAAAGTAATCAAACGTTTAATATTGACAAAATCCTTTAAAAGAGAGAGAGAGAGAAAACAAACCTTTTTCAATTTCAAAAAAGTTCATGCATTTTAATAATAAAAGGATCCTTTTAAATTTTAAAATCCCTTTTTATTAACGTGCCTCTCTTCTTCTCCTCCTCCTCCTTTCCTCACTCACTACCCCCATTACACAAATATAAAAAGTATCCAACATTTCCGTTTATCCTTTACTTTAACCCTCCTCCTCCCACCCTCCCCCCCCCAAAAAAAATAAAATAATTATAAAATTTTTATTTTTCTCTTGAAATTCTTACCAATTGAACGATCATTTCCTCCTAGTTTTTACAATTAAAAAATTTAAACTTTTTTTTTTTTTTCTTTTATTCTTTCCCACGAATTTGAATCACGATTGATGTTTGTTGTTGTTGTTGTTGTTGTTGAAGAGAGTACGTTTGATGAACAAACACAAAATCAAACGCTATTTATATACTTTTTATATACAAGGCTCCCAAAACAAGACATTGCAAAAAAAAAAAAAATAAATCAGGATTCGTTTTGTTGAAGGTTAATTTTATTATTATTATTATTATTATGTGGGGGAAGGGCGGGGTCACACAAACGTAAAATTAAATTGTAATTTGAAGAGGAGAAGGGGGGTAAGGGGCGTTTTATTATCATTTTATGAATTTTTTTTAATTAATAAAAATTTTTCCTATTACGTCGATAATTTTACCCGGAAATCCAATTTCAATATATCGAAATGCGTGTGCCATGAATATTTATATTTTTTTAAAAATATATAAATGCTCTACATATATTATGTACATAAT